CTCTCTCTCTCTCTCTCTCTCTCTCTCTCTCTCTCTGGTTCTGGAAGATACTGGCCAAGTCTCTAGCGAACAGGCATGCAGCCTGGCCTTCATGAATACGGACTGTGGTACCAACAAGGTTTGAATTCTGTCCCTAGTACTAGCTTACTGTGTGGGATAATTTGGATCTGGAGAACCCCCAAAAGCCCCTATATTGAAGGCTTGGTTCCCTGCCTGTGACACCATTAGGAGGTGGTGTGGCCTAGTGGGAGGAAGTTACCATAGTCGCTGTCCAAAAACTGGCATGCCCTTGAAGGAGTTATTAGGACCCTGACCTTTTGCTTGTGGGCTGCTAGGGCTGCTATGTGGTAAGAAGCTTCCCTCCTCACCTCCTCCTCCTGCTCCCACCTTTATGTACTGTATGGCTACACACAGATAAGCAACCTGATCAAGTGGCCATGAACTGAAACCCCTGAAACTGTGAGTCAAAATAAACATTTCATCCTTTTAAGCTGATTTTCTCAGGTATTTTGTAACAGTGATGGCAAGCTCATACCCTGTTTAGTATATTATTTCATCTATGTTCATCAGGAAATTTGAAGTTTTCTTTCCTTGTCTTTGTCTGGTTTTGGCATTAGGGTGAAACTAGATTTATAGAATGAATTTGGAAGGGTTCCCTCCTTTCCTATTTCATGGAATAATTTGAGGAGTATTGGTATTCATTCTTCTTTGAAGGTCTTGTAGAATTTGGCTGAGAATTCATCTGGTCCCAGGGTTTTTTTTGGTTGATAGGCTTTTGAAGAAAGGGAAGTTTTGAAACAAACTCATCCTCTTTCTGTAACCCATTTGTCATAGTTTGGATCTGAAATGTCCCTCAAAGGCTTCTGTGTCAAAGACTTAGTCTCCAGACTATAGTAGAATCTTTAGGAGAGAGAGGTATAGTTGGAGGAAGCTAGGTCATTGGGGGTATACCTTTGAAGAGGATATTGAAACCCCCCTCCTCCCTCTTTCTTTCTTCTTTTTTTAAACAAGACACTTTTTTAAAACTTTTTTTTTAACATTTAGTTTTTAGTTGGAGGTGGATATAATACCTTTATTTTATTTTTATGTGGTGCTGAGGATCAAACCCAGTGCCCCACACATACTAGGCAAGCGCTCTACCACTGAGCCACAACCCCAGCCTGACACTTCTTTTATAAATACCTTTATTTTGTTTATTTTATTTTTTATGTGGTGCCAGGATCAAATCCAGTGCCTCATGCATGCTCGGCAAGCACTCTACCACTGAGCCACAACTCTGCCCTTCCTCTTTTTCTTTTGCTTCCAACCTACCATGAAGTGAGTAGCTGCTTCCAACTCACAGTTATGCCATGATGTGCTGCTTCTCACCACAGGTCCCACAGTATCTGGGCCAAGTACTATAGAGTGAAACCCCTTTAAACAATGAACCCAAACAAACCTTTTTACTTCTAAAGTTGATTTGTCTCATGTATTTTTTTACTGTAATGGAAAGCTGGCTCACACCCTCTTAGGACTAAAACCGTAGTTTATAACAAGTATCTTATTGTGTTTAATTACTTATCATAGATACATGAATACCATCTCTATAATATAAATTCAAAATAAAAATTCTGGACAAAACCCTCTGGGTTTGCCTCCCTGGTCTCCTCCTGCTAGCCATAGAAAGGCCAAATTGAAAGGATCTGAGCATTACTTGAGAATTATATGAAACAAGGAGGTGTCTCACACAGATGTGTACAATGAAAAGAGCAAGATGCATAAAGAACACAATATAGGGCAGCCTGTCTATTTTGTAAAAACTCTGGCCAGTATAGTTTGGATTGGCATAGACAGTTATTTCTAACTTTATTTCTCTCTTTTTTTTTTGTGGTGCTGAGGATTGAACCAGAGGCCTTGTGCTTGTGAGAGCCATATCCCAGCCCCTCTACCTTTATTTCTTATGGTTATTCTAGTCTATCTCTACCAGTTGGACAAAATCCTGATGAAACTTCAAAGTTCAGACAGAATAAGTTTTGTGGAAGTAAAACAAGAGCTGAAAGAGTCACTGGTTTTAATGGTATGAATGTAATGTCAAATAGCAGTATTTTCTTAGCCAGTACATGCCCATGGGTTACATCAGAGGCTTTATTTCAATTGTCACTCCTAATTGCATGGAGGCCATAGCTTCTTCTGATATAGTCTATAGACAATGCTAGTCAAAGATGGATCAGTAAACAATTTAATTAGATTCTTTCTGAACTCAAGTTTCTCTTTTTTCTTTTCTCTTACCTTCTTTCTTTCTGTGGTTGGGGGGGCATTTTTGCTATACTGTCTAGGCTGGCCTTAAACTCTTGGGCTGAAGCAATCTTCCTGCCTAAGCCTCCTTAGCTAAGATTATCATCATATTCCAATATACCCAGCTCCAGGTTCTCATTAAATGTTGCATTAACTTTTTCATTGGCCAGCTTGACAACTAACCTCATTGCTTACTCTTCAATTTCTTTTGCTTTTAAAAAACATGAGTAGGCTTAGATCAGTTTAAGTTTAGAGATGATTGAGTAGATAGTAGAGAAAGTTCCCATATACCTACTCTCTCACCTGCTCATTATTACCCTGATAATTGACATTTTATATTAGTGTGGCTCATTTGTCAAAATTGGAAAGCCAACAATAATACATGTGTTAGTTAGCTTTCTATCACTGTGACAAAATAGCTGAGGAAATAAACTTAAAGGGTGAAATATTTATTTTGGTCCACGGTCACTTGGACATCATTGATTCTGGGCTTGTGGTGAGGCAGAACATCAAGGAGAGAAGCATGCGAATGTGGAGTTGACCTGCCCAAGAGAAAGGGGGGCGTCTTATGGGCTTTTGTAGTGAAACCCAGTGTGTGTGTGGGGGGGTGTCGGGTCTCAGGGAGGGGAACCATGATGTAGTGATATTACAATGAACCCTGGATCACCCAAGGACAGCGTCTCTGTGCTTCTGAGCATGCTCCAGTCCCTGAGACTCTGACTAATCCATTTTCTCCAGATTGACAGGGAGCTGTTTGACCAAAGGAAGGCAGTCCCCAGCAGTGTAACTGCCATGGGACACGGCCCAGGGGCACCACCTGAATTTCCTTTCCCCACCTCCCCTGCTCATGTCTGTCTAGCTACCTACTCTAACCATAGGGTATCTTTTCTATCCCCCCTTGTAGTGCTCTGCACATAATACACAACGTACACAATAGCATACAATCAATGAAAATTATTTGCATTTCGGTTTACTTGTTTAATTGAAATGAATCTCCGTCATCAAAATTCCCTGGTCTGAAGAACTAATTAAACTGTCCTGTGAACACGTGGAATCGTTAAGGCGTAGCTTCATTTTCTATGCATTTGACTATTTTAAATACATGAAATACAGCACACACAAGACATTTCAAACAAAACTTGCTATAAATTACAAGACTTTGCTGCATGCTACAATTTCCAGTGGTTTGGAATTTCCCTGGAGTAGCCAGAAATGAGATATTGTCTTCAAAGGCAAACTTATGAAATATGCAAGAATATAGATCCTGGAAACTGGGCATTGGCAGAGCTAAGTTACAGTAATTCACCCATCTTTGGGTTGGCAGAAATGTGCATACAGTGACTTAATGTCAAAGATTAGAGAAATTCCCTCTGTCTATTCTTTCTTACATGGCTTTTCTTCTAAAACAAAGGAGTTCTACTTGTGAATTTTTTTTTAATTTTAAATGTTAATAATTACAAAGGCCACAGGTGAAGACTTTAACAGGCTTTCCTAATCCTTTAGGACATTATTTCAAAATGAAGAAATTCATTATAAGTAACCAGGCAGAACAGAATCATGTTTAAAAAATTTTTTTTTTTAAAGATCAGAGAAGTTGCTCTGAATTCCATTTGATTCCCAAAGAAGCCTCAAAGGCAGGGAGCCAAGTTGGATCTTCAAAACAAAACCTGATCCAGGCCCAGTCAGCCATCCCCAGAAGGCAGACTAAAAGGTTTGGCAGCAACTGTAGTGACAACCTCTCTTGTTTCTTGTTCTTTCCCTTTTGTGACTTCCTATGAATCCACAGACCCCGGAAGACTACCTCTGTATCAACTTGCCCCTCTACTTTCTGGGAAGAGAAATGTGGCAGCCATTGGGTCCCTAGGATGCAATTGTTAAGGTACTTTTTTTTTCCATATGTAAATAACTTGTTTATATGAGGTATTTAATGGTTAGAAAGGAAAAGATATAAATGGTAGACAAATTCTCTTTTTGGCAGTTCTTAATTACAATTCTTAATACGATGGTATAGATGAGACTATCATTGAAAGTAAAGCCATGGAATGACTTTTAAACTGTATCTGGTGAAAGCAGAATTTTCAATCATGGAGTTTCTATTACATAATATCATTGTTTTACAAATCAATTCTCAAAAATGGCTGGTTTTGGAGGCAAATGGGAGTCCTGATAATAGCCAGCCAAGTCATTGACATAGGGCTGAAATAAAACCCAAAGCAACACATTAGAAAGATGGAATAATAAAGTTGGGAAGGATGATACTGCCATCCAACATTAATTGATGTGCAAAAGCACTCAGAATTCCCAGGAGAAAAGAATTATTTAAATGCAAATTTTTATTATTACTACTACTTAAATTGTTGTAATAAATTCATGAGAATAAGACACCTCTCTAGCTAAATACATATATAATACCTGATAAAATATTTATAAGCCACATACTTGCAGTTTCATCATTTTGCATAAAAAATAGTAAACAAGATGAAACACTTCTTTAATCCAAGATCAATTTAGCACAATCTAGAGCTCCACACAATAATCATGATGATATTTGGTTTGACAATTACAAACACCTTCACACACTTCTATGAAAGAAGAAAAACAGAAGTGCTTTGAAAAGTGGGATTTTAGTCTTCAAATCTCCTTTTAATATATGAAAGGAATGAAATACTTTGGGTAAAAGTTTCTGACAGAAGATAATTTTGGCTTATATACAACACTGCTTGTGTGCGTTTTTACTGCATACCTCAATTTAGGGATTTCTTATGATTTTTTACATCCACCATTTTATCTGATGGGAAATATATGAATATATTATAAGCTCAGAAGATGGCATCTAAAAGAAATGGAGCATTTCTAATTTGGACTTTATCCTTTAGTCAATTAAGAGCCCTAAGAAGAATATAAGCAGGCTAGTGCATTAATAGGATTAGTTTTCTAGATGGATGCAAAGAAGAAGATGAATCGAAATGAAAGACAAAGAGCAGTTAAACTGTTTGAACAACCCAGATAAAAAATATTAATGGGTTATTCTAAGGCAGTGGTAGTAGACATGAAAATAAGGCTAGATATGAGGTTTTTGTCCTTTCTATTTTTTTTCCCTATGGTACTAGGATCAGCATCTGCTGAGCAGGTGCTCTACCACTGAGCTCCCAGCTCTGATTCATAAAGCATTTTATTGACCAGTTTGGAATGGGTGACAAATGTATGAATTAAGGATTACACTGATATTTCATGTACCACTGAGTTCCAGCTCCAGCCCAATACTGATATTTCTGCCTTGCAGGGTCAGATAGATAAATGGTGATGCCAGTCACTATACTTGGTGATAAATAAATAGGTATAAAATAAATATTTGATGAAATAAATTATTAATATTATAGTATGAAAAGTGTTCCTCCAAGGAGCAAGAAGGTACAGGACTCTAGTTCCACCTCTGTTGTTAACCTGCTGGATAACCTCTCCAAGCCTCAGTGCCATTACTTTTACAGTGTTTCTGAGTGAGGTCCCGAGGTTCTTCAGGGGTCCACAGGCCAGAAATATTTTATTGTAATAATAGTAATAAAATGTTATTTTCTGTTTGTCATTCTCATTTTCCTGTTATGTAATGAGTTTGTTATTTTAAAGTAAACATGATTTTATAATTTCTTACCTTTAATTTTTAAGATCTTAAATACTGATAAAAATAGAAGTTTTTTGTTTTTGTTTTTGTTTTTTTTTTGCTCAATAACTTTTAAAAATGTAAAGGGGCCCTAAAACTAAAAACTATGCAAATTGCTTATCTATAAAATAGGAATAATGTCAGCACTTTGTATTTTAGCTTGTTTGCTATGGAGTCAGATAAGACTCTACAATTACTTTTAAAAGCTCAAGATGTGCCCAGCACGATGGCACACACTTGTAAACCCAGTGGCTCAGAGACTGAGGCAGGAGGATTGCAAGTTCAACACAAGCCTCAGCAATTTAGCAAGGCCCTAAATAACTTAGGGAGACCCTGTCTTAAAATAAAAAGTTTGTTGGTAAAGCCGTTATGGGTTCAATATACAATACCTCCAGCCCTGCAAAAAAAGCTCAAGATTCTATATAAGATTGAGTGTTGTTACCATGATTAATTTTGGTGACTTTTAAAGATGGAACAGATTAAGGTTACAAACTTTCTAGACATGAAAGAAACAAGTCAGGGAATCTCCCATATGTTTTGAACTTTTCATATGACTTGCCTTAATGAATAAATAAAACTTCTAGTACCTAGAAAATGGATGCTGAATGGGGAAAAATAGTAGAAAATATTACTATTACTCACTTGACATTCAATACTTCTTTATTATCAATGACCTAACAGGTTGGCATGAGTTTCCCACTTACTTTAAAGTGATATTATGGAAGTATATATTACCCAGGGTTACAGATTCTCTCTTTATTTCTGTTTTGGTCTTTATCACTTGCTACCTTTTACATATTTGTGTAAAAGTGTCATTTCTTCTAGGTTGTAAGTTCTAGAGGGTAGGAAGTGTTTCTGACTCATATTTCTTATCTACAGGGTACCTCGCATGTTATTTGCATACATTTGCAACTCAGAAATATTGGTTGATTGAATTATTGTATACATTTGCAATAGAAGAATTAGTAAATGTTTTTCTAGTAGAAGATGTGGTACATATTTTTTTTAAATTGTGTTTTGCCTTAACATCAAAAACAAAACAAATAACCCAATCAATAAATGGGCAAAAGAACTGACCAGATACTTCACAAAAGAAGAAATATAATCAATCAACAAATATATGAAAAAATGTTCAACGTCTCTAGCAATTAGAGAAATGCAAATCAAAACTACACTGAGATTCCATCTCACTCCAGTCAGAATGGCAATTATCAAGAATACAAGCAACAGGGCTGGGATTGTGGCTCAGTGGCAGAGCACTTGCCTTGCACATATGAAGCAATAGGTTTGATCCTCAGCACCACATAAAAAAGATAAATAAAATAAAGGTATTGTATCCATCTACAACTTAAAAAATATATTTTTTTTTAGAGAGAGAGAGAGAGAATTTTTTTAATATTTATTTTTTAGTTCTCGGCAGACATAACATCTTTGTTTGTATGTGGTGCTGAGGATTGAACCCGGGTGGCACGCATGCCAGGCGAGCGTGCTATCGCTTGAGCCACATCCCTAGCCCCAACTTAAAAAATATTTTAAGAAAAGAATACAAGTAACAATAAATGTTGGCAAGGATGTGGGGGTAAAGGTAGACTCATATATTGCTGGTGGGACTGCAAATTGGTGCAATGACTATGGAAAGAAGTAAGGAGATTCCTCAAAAAACTTGGAATGGAACCACTATTCGACCCAGTCATCCCACTCCTAGTTTTATACCCAAAGGACTTAAAATAAGCAGACTACAGTGATGCAGCCACATAAATATTTATAGCAGCTCAATTCACAAAAGCTAAACTATGGAACCAATCTAGATGACCTTTAATAAATGAATGGATTAAGAAACTGTGCTGGGGGGCTGGGGTTGTGGCTCAGTGGCAGAGCACTTACCTAGCACGTGCAAGGCCCTGGGTTTGATCCTCAGCACCACATAAAAATAAATAAAATAAAGGTATTGTGTCCAACCAACTACAATTAAAAAATAAATATTAAAAAAAGAAAGAAACTGTGGTATATATACACTATGGAATATTACTCAGCCCTAAAGAAGAATGAATTGTGGCATTTGCTGATAAATGGATGGAACTGGAGAATATTATGCTAAGCGAAATAGGCCAATCCCAAAGAACCAAAAGTTGAATGTTCTCTCTGATGTGCCAATGCTAATTCACAATAAGGAGGGATGGGAATAGAGGTATTTTGGACTAAACAGAGGGGAGTGAAGGGAGGGGAGGGATCCTGGGGGTAGGAATGATAGTAGAATGAATCGGACATTATTACTCTATGTGTGTATATGATTACATGACCTGTACAACTCTATGTACATCATGTACAACCAGACAGATGAGAAGTTATACTCTGTTTATGTATGATGTGTCAAAATGCATTCTACTGTCATGCATAACTAATTAGAACAAATTTTTAAAAATTGTGTTTTACAACTTAAAATATTATGAATAGGCAAAATAACATAAGAAATATATACCAATATGTCAATAGAAATTGAGTTAGAATAGTGAAAGTATTCTCTTTTTCTATTCTGATTCATTTATAATATGGTCACATTATCTTTCTAATAGAATCGATAAATATCAACAAAATGGCAGTTAGTATTCTACAGGGTTATATCAATTTGTTGAAATTGTACTGGCCTTCCCACTGTGATTTTGACAGCCCACTCCCCTGTCCCCCTCAGACTCCTTATTGTTACCTCCATTTCCTCCTTTCTCCCTGATTAGTGATGGAACAGCAAGAACAATTTGGTAAAGACAGGTTTGGAGAAAGTAGGAAGAGATGATGGAGCCAAATGATTTAACCCAGAGATTCCTTCACAATTCACTAGTTCATTCATAAACACCGAGTGGTCTGGTGAATGGGAATTGCCTGAGTCAGGCTGCTGTAGTTGGGGAAAAAGGTAGAGATCCCAATGTCAGAAGCAACAGCAGAGGCAGCCACCTCTAGGGGCCAACAGCCAGATACCCAGAGAAAAGGATTGGTCAAGCAACAAAGCAGCTGACCCAAGGATAAGGTGAGATTGTGTTATGCCATGGGGCCACGTAAACTTATCCCTGAATCCCTGGAACAAAGAGGGAAACAGAAAGATGAGGGATTCATTTTAAATAACTGCCTAAAATAGATAGAAACTTATTTTAATGATCTGGATGAATTTTTTTCTGTCATCATTGGGAAGTGGGTGTGAGTGCAGATAGGGTCAATAGCAAGTTAAAGGAAAGGTATGTTTTGCACATGCTGAATCAGTGCCTCTTCAGTTCATACCTGCTGCACATTGTATTCATGTTTTTCAGAAAGAACTTAATCAGAATTTACTTTATACCGAGCACTAGGCCAGGGATGAATTTTGCAAAGAAAATTTCAAATAGAAAGTGAGGTCAGAGGCACTCCCAAACTATTTGTTTTTCAGAAAAATGAAATACAAATACCAGCCACATTATTTATCATTTAAAAGGAAATTATTTACAGGAGACATAATAATTTATTTTCACTTTATGTTCTTTAAAAAATTTAATTGGGAGGCCATTAGGCTGAGAGGGCTCCAGTACCTTGAGTTCCTATCTAAGCAAACCAAAGCCCAGCATATGCTGTAATATGAAACGTAAGCCAACCTACCAGAAACCGCCAAACAACCTCCAAGTAGAGGCTCTACCCACCAAAAACCACCAAACAACCTCTAACTGGGGACTTTCCATTTTAACCAGTCCAGTACATTCTATTTGTCTCGCCCTGAACACATACATACAGTTTCCAGCCCACAAACAGGGGAGTGCTGAACCTCTTGTGCTCAGGTGCTGCCCAGTGTGTGAACTGTCTATTCACATAAATTCTTCCAACTTCCAATATGCCTAACTTCATCTTTTAACACATCCAACACAAAGAGTCTCTAAGCAAATTAATTTTGCAGATTTTCAGGCCCAAAGTGTGATCTTGGAACCAAAAGACTAATAAATGTGCATCTGAACAGGTGCTGTTCAAGCTCATTTCAACAGCTTCAGCAAGAAAAAAAAATGGCATTTTTTTTTTTTTACAGGTCTTAGGCCTTATTCCATGATAAAATTGCCAATGGCACTGCAGAATTGAAATCAAATCGGGAGCTGGATTCATTATGAATATCCAGATACAGATTCAAGAACAGGTATGAGTACTTTCCTTCCATGCCACAAATATTTACAAAGTTGTTATGTGTCAGGCCCTGTTCCCAAGTGAAGAACGAGGTATACAGACTGTGAGAGAATTCCCTTATTTCAGAAAAACAGATATTGTGCTTATTCATTGGCTAGACTTTTCTCTCAAGAGAACCAATGTACACCGCATAGTAATAGCCTGTTCTTTAGAAACCACTTTTATCACACCAAAAATTTCTTCCATATCTTGGAACCCTACTGGCTACTATTTGAAAAAGCTTTAGCTTACAAAGTCTCATTGAAAATGAGGTTTTATTCTACCTGAGGTAAGAGAGAGAAACAGTATCACAAGGAGCATAAAGCATCTAGAGACATCTCACACAAGCTGTGGAAATATCTGAAATGAAATTGGACAGACCTCAAATTTAAAGAACTTATTTAAACTGTATCAATGAAACTTGGCCCTGCTCTTTCCCTGTATAAACTTCCAGACATTTTAATAGCATTACACTTGATTACACAGTTTACTTGTAGACTGTGTTTGAGCTCCAGCTAACTGCTGCCGATTTAGAAGACAGGTTCTCATTTGGCTCACGTTCCTCATGGGATCACTGACAAATTCCAAGATATGTAATTAGCATTTTGGCGTTGAATCTTCATTCAATTCAGATTGAGGGCATTTGACTGCTCTCCAAGTCAGGAATACAATCAGGAGAACCTGTAGCATGAAAAATGTGAGGATACTGACTTACAGCTAAGCTTGAGTGTCACCGTTTCTGTGATTCAGCCTCTAATCCTTCTCCATAAAATGAGATTTTAGGAAACAAGTGAATGAAATCATGTGTAGGCATGTGCTTTGTAAACTATGAAGTACTAAATGGATGTAAAACAGTGTTTTATAATTTGAGAGATAATTTTTACATTTAATGAATAGTAATTTTGGTTTTGATGACCCCAAACATCTGGTTTTGTATCAAGTGGAGCTAAAATCCTACTATAAAATTATGTTTAAAAAATATTTTGGAATCCTATGAATAAAATAAAATTACCCTTATTAAGATCACCAAAGTCTTAATTGAAATAAAAAAGTAAAGGGGTAAATTATAGTTCAAGGCACAAATCAGTTCTTAAGAAGAAAAATCATATTTCAAAGTTCCCTGTCAATCTTTAATAGCTAGCAGGTATTAAAAGTAGTCAAACTTAGCATAATAATAAAACTTCAAATTATGCTCAAATCATGTGGATATTACATGCTAATGTACAATTCATTATTAAAATGACAGTAATACTAATGGTGAGATGACTAAGAACTAAAGTAACTAATGTTTTAATTTTGCATCTTTTCATAACTTAAGAATTTTGGTCTTCAAGTAATGTATAATTTTATCAAATTAAACTGTTGATTTATTATAAAAGGTCTATATAATACTAATATTTATTTGTATTTTATATGTATATATATATTACATTTTAGTATGACAAAACAATAGTGGAATTAATTTGGCACATTGATCTCTTTGATATGTATGGATAGTTTTATAAAATATAGTATTAATTTGGGACATCATTTCTAAAGGTTAATTTCTTTAACAGTGTACAATATAGGGGAGCATGGAACATAATTAGGAAGAGCATCCAATGCCATGTATGGATGTATGCTCAATACATGAGCATAAATTGGCTCAATCAGGCATCTCCTGGAGATCATATTGTATAATGTATTGCTTTTACAATAACATGGACTGTCTGCCTAGTTTGTTTTTCTTATGGTTTCTGTCTGTTTAGTTAGGAGTATCACTTTGTAACTGCTCTGTCAAATCAATTCTGTCCTTCTGAGTCTGGGCAGTGTTACAATATGACATCCCGGACTATCTAGATGAGTAGAGGGCAAATGAATTTCCTTTTGCTCCACTATTGAAGGGGAAAGAAAAATTCCTCACTCTGTAATGGCTCAGAGACATACTTTCAATTAATTAATTAATCTGTTCTTAGATTAATCTCAGAACAATGATCTCCTTGGGGTGCAGAGTGCATGGAAACAAAGACTGTGAGGTTTCAAGCATCCCTCTCCTCCCTCTTTCAGCATCCCTTCATCCCATTTTGTGTTCCTTCCTCCCCATACTAAAAATAGTTAGATTTCTGGAAAACTTGTATATAAAGTCTTCTCATTCTCCACATGCCAGGTAATTTAAGCCAAAAAAATATATCCCGTTTCAATGTGGCTTTGTTCTCAGTTGACTTTCATGGTTAGAAAGTTATCTGATAATTAGTCCCTATTAAATTAGTACTTAAATTGGTACCTGGTATTCACTCAGATGGAATTCTCTTATTTTAACACTTAATACCATACAGTCTTAAAGATGGAAAAATCTGAATTTCTTCCAATGCCACTGTGAAGCCCCACGGATGGGCCAGTGGGCTTCATAAAGGCCTTGGTACCAGCAGATAGCTGCCACTGTGTCTGCTGTAAGAGCTACCTGTGATGGCCATGTGTAGCCAGAGACCGGAAAAAATAAATCATCCCAGCTGTTCCCTTAGCTCAAGCTGACCTTGAATCATTCAGTAGCTCACTCAGGTTAATGATTCAGACTTTGTCACAGTGTCCCACTTACAGTGCATGCTAACATACAGAGAGAGAGAAGATGTGAGGGAAGGGGAGGGCGATAGTAGAGGATAGGAAAGGTAGCAGAATACAACAGTCACTAGTATGGCAATATGTAAAAATGTGGATGTGTAACTGATATGATTCTGCAATCTGTATCTGGGGTAAAAATGGGAGTTCATAACCCACTTGAATCTAATGTATGAAATATGATATGTCAAGAGCTTTGTAATGTTTTGAACAACCAATAAAAAAAAAGAAAAAAAAAAGAAAAAGTAATATACTTTACATAACCCCAATGCATTGTCTCCCATTTCCCTCGATGACTGTGCCTCCTAGGTCACTAACAAAATAACAGTCATCCCTAGGGAACTCTCATGAGCTCGTACCACCTCTCTCCCTTGTTCACAACCACACTCCCCAGGGCTCTGCCTCCTCTTCTTACCCACGATCAATTCTCCACGGTCTTGTTTAAGTCCAGTGGATCCCATCAGCAGTTCACCTGCTCAAGGTCCTCAGTCTAGACACTCACCCTTCACTTTTGGGTCATTCCCATCCACAGGCCATTATTTCTTGCCTTGAAAACAGTAAACAATACCCCTCTGGACTCCGTTTCCTGTTGAGATTACTGTCCCTTTCTATTTCCTTTCACATCAGAACTGCTTAGAACACATACCTATTCTTGTTCTCCCTACGCCTTGCCTCCCTCATTAACCTGCCTCACTAAAGTCTTCATCCCTAGTCATTCCACTAAAACTGTTGCTGCTGAGTCCACCAGTGACTTCTGTGTCACTTGACCCAGTGGTGTCGTCTCAGCCATGTTTGACCCAGTTTGTCACTCCCTTCTCCTGGAAACACTTTCTTCATTTGGCTTCTGGGACCCCATGTTCTCCAGGTGTTCTTCCAGTCTCACTGGCTGCTCCTTCTCATCTCCTTTGCTGACTCTTCCCCACCTCCACCTTCCCATCCCCTCAACATTGGAGTGCTGGACGCAGGTATTGAGGCTTCTTCCCTTGGCCATGTCATCTGGGTTTATAGCTTCAGAAACCATCTATATGCTAAATATTCCAAAGTTGCGTCTCTAGCTCAGATCTTTCTCTCGAATCTGGATTCATAGCTGCCTGTCTACTTTAATGGTCAGTGGACATCTCACTCTGAATCCTGATCTTCCTTTCCAAGTCCACTGTTGCCCTGCCTGTTCCCAACCAGTTCTTCACAGGCTAGCCAGAGTCCTCCTATAAACCGGGCTATATCATATCACTCTTCTATTTTAAACCTCACAATGGCTCTGGTCACTCTCTGAAGTCTAAATGCCTGCATGACTTATTAGGCCTTACCCAATATGCCTGTAGTTACTTCTCGCTCAATCCCTAGTATCTACTCTGCTGCCATCTTGCTTGCCTTCCAACCACTCCTGGAACAAGTCTGTTATGCTCTGAGGGTCTTCTCACATGCTGTTCCCTCTGCCCTGATTGTTGTCCCCCAGGCATCTGCATGGAATGTTCCTTTGCCTCCTTCAGGTCCTTGTTCAGACATTACCTTCTTGCCAAGGCCTTCTTATGGTTTAGATGTGAGTGTCCTCCAAAAGATCATGAAACGATGCAAGACGGTTTAGAGGTGAAATGATTGGGTTATGAGAGCCTTATCCCAATCAGTGAATTAATCCCCTGGTAGGGATTAACTGGGTGGTAACTGTAGGCAGGTAGGGTGTGGCTGGAGGAGGTGGGGCCTGGGAGTGTGCCTTTGGGGGTATATATAAACAGAGTTCTCTTTTTCTGTTTCTTGATGTGGTGTATTGAGCTGCTTCCCTCCACCACACTCTTCTTGCCATGATGATCTGCCTTATCTCGAGCCTTGAGAAATGGAGCTGTCTGTGGACTGAGACCTCTTAAACTGTGAAGCCCTCAAATAAACTTTTCCTCCTCTAATTGTTCTTGAAAGATCCTTTGGTCAAAGCAGTGAAAAAGCTGACTGAAACACCTTCCTTGAACACTCTGGTAAAATGGCAGTGCTCTTTCCTATCCACCTTCTCTGATTTATCTTTCTTCACGGCACTATCATTTCCTAACCATGGGCTTTTCTGGTTTATTATCTTCTCCCTCACCCTCAGAATGTAAGCTCCATGAGGAATGGATCCCATCTGTTACTGGATGTACACTCAGTCCCCAGGTCTGTACTGAAGCCATAGAAAGTGTCCAATACCTACTTATTAAATGTGTATCTTTATATCAAAATAGCCTGCACATCAATTTCAGAGACAGAGACCAGAGCTACAAGTAAGGATGTGTCTCTTTCTCAACATCTTCTTCACCAGACTGTAGGAATGGTGTAAGGCAGACTCCTGGGGGCATGTGGTGGGCTAAGTATTCACCATGAGGCTTTGTCTAGTCAAACCACTGACACTTGACCTTTCAGCCGAACATTTGAAATTGAAATGCTGTGCAACATTTTCACTATTTGTTTATAGGCAGTCTTTTAAATTCAGTAATTATTATGTAGTTTTATTTCCTGTGTAATGCTTCTTTTTAAATGGTATTATAAAGATTAAGCTTTGGACTCATTTGTAGCAAGAAAATAGTCTTCAAGTTTGGCATATTGTTATCTTTCGCATTTATTCTAGTTTTTAGGCATATCAATTAACTTCACATGTAAAATAAATAATTGCTGCTTACCATGGTAATACATCTTGCTTTCATCAGAGATTGTAGCCAAAGAGTAAATTCTGGAAATGCTTATGGGGCATTGGCAACCTGCAGTGATGCTGTGGGAACTCCTAGGCAGCTGCTTGAGAAGCAATGCCTAAGTCAACGGGGCAAGATGATGAAGAATGTGCAATTTACATTCTCCCAGTTCTGATGCAGAAAAGGGCAAACTTCCCACAGCTATGCATTGCCTTCCCCCAATGGTAACAATGAGAAATACAAGAACAATTTGTAAAATTTATTCACAACACAAAAGTTGAGATGACTGAAACAGTTGGTAGTGTCCTCTTGCCTCTGAATTCATTTTATAAAAATATCAGTGAGCTCAATTTTCTTTATTTTGCTATTTTATTTGGGGAATGATGAAGAGTCTTTTTAGTAGTTAGGAAACTTCAGACTTTGATGTCATTCATTACCGTTTCCCTGGAATTCCGAAACTGTTCTGTCAGTGGCAATCGCGACATTTGTGGACTTGACATGTGATAGTAGTTGGGTAACCGAATGTCATAGTGGTATCTTTTTCCTACATACACCCTGTCATTCAAGGCATAGAGTTTATCTGCAATGTCACTGCCAATTAAAACCGAAAACAGGCGGGAGATGTAACGATGCTGAGCAAAGAGCAAATATAATTTCTTTCTTCTCCAGGTCACATATCGACAATCAGTTTCTGCTGTGAGGGTTACCTAAAAAACATAAGACCACATGTAAACAAAGATTAGGAAACAAGAAACCAAATCACATTTTTTCTGCTCCAAAGTTTGAGGGAGTCTGACTTGATGTCTTCTTTAGGTTAAAATAATCCCACTAACAAGCAATATTTGTAAAAAATATTGTAAAAAATAGAAAAAGAAAACCATATAACTTATTATGATATACATAATTTATAATATGAATATTTATGATGTTGTGTTCATCTCCAGCTTACCTATTTTTCCAAGTTTGGGGATTTATACTTTGCATTTTATTGAAGGCAGATCTACTTGATATTATAAACATAAAGTTGACTATGTTAGGGAAGTAAATCCACATCAATTCTGAAGACTGTAGACATTTAACCCTGAGTTTCTGTAGTACAAAATTTATAGTTCTGTTGTATACAATTTATATAACTATTTTGCATATGTATATTAATTTGTATTTACATGCATGCATATGTATTATCAATCCATAGGAAGAAAGTATAACATAATAAATGGAACCCACCAAAATGATTATCTTTCAAAACTACTGCTATGTGATGGCACAATAGTAACAATAAGCACTTTGATGCTAGAAGATATCTCAAGTTCATCAGCATCTTAAATTTCTAAAACATTTATTTTGTAATTAGTACAGTTTTTTGTTCTTGCTGTTTTCTAAATTGTCACACTGGCAATTTTTAGGCTATAGTCAAATCTCAATTAATTATATTTTAATTCCTAAATATGCAGTTATACAAAGGAAAGCTTAAGAATATTTATCATTGGGCTGGGGATGTGGCTCAAGCGGTAGCGCGCTCGCCTGGCATTCGTGTGGCCAGGGTTCAATCCTCAGCACCACATACAAACAAAGATGTTGTGTCCGCCGAAAACTAAAAAATAATAAATAAATATTAAAACTAACTCTCTCTCTCTCTCTCTCTCTCTCTCTCACTCTCTCTTAAAAAAAAAAAAGAATATTTATCATGGTTCCTTTCTGTCTTAGGGAACATCTATTTTCCTTGTTGCTGGACTTGTTTGGCGGGCAGCATTAATCAGCAGGAGTCAAACAGAATTGGGAATTCATGTAGGTTGCAAAGTACATCCCAAAGTTAAATATAATTATTCTTGTGTTATCTGTTGTTCTACTTGTTTGTTTACTTATTTTTAAGCAGACACTGTTTATCTGTTTGGAGAGAAGCATTAACTGTGTGGTCTGTGTCCCTTACCTGAAAAGTGCCTTCCTCTGTGGGTCTCAGTGAGTCCCACTCAGGAGAGTCCAGGAACTGAAAGGGGTAAATGTAGTGCAGAAACTCCCCATCAACTGTCACTCTGATCCTACCAAAACATAAGAACGACATTTGAAGGAAGGAGAAAGTGAACACATCACTAGGGGTAGGAGGATGGAGAAATGTGCTTCAGATCTCTGGTGACTTTTTTGTCCTTTAGAATTTTGAAGGGAAAAATACAAAATTCATGCATCACAGTAAGTGACACAATATCCTGTAAAATTCACATACTGATGTTCTTCTCTTGGGAACCTGGAATATGGAGTGAAATCCATCAGAAAGTTTATCAAGTTGCACCCTTATGGTTTGTGTCCATTTGTTTGTGTACAGTATATGTTGACAAGTTTTGATGCCCTCAGTCAGATTTTAAATTAAGTAGAACATTTAAGAGCATCTTGGTGTTCTGCCATAAATACCTCTGTAAACTAAAGTTTCAACCTTTTCAAATATGAATAAACACATTATTATTTCCTCCTCAAAGCTTTTCAAAGTTTATATTACTATATATATTCTTGAAGTTCTCCTATTTTCTAACAAGTGGGTAATTGCAAGAACTTACTGAATAAATTAGAGAATTACAAAAACAAAAGTTCTCTGTTATTTAAAAGATTACCCTAACAAAGAGTCTATTTAAATAAGTATTTTAAAAACATAAATATTCTATTAATTCAAGGAGACATCATCCTCTTTTTTGACTTGCAGTGATCAGCTCTGAAACCAATATTGTATTCAAATAACTATATTCATCCTTTTGTTTTTAAGATTCACATCATTTGACTTCTAAGGTGAAAGAGTAAGCCTCTGGATCACGTACTGCTTCAAATAAACAAAGCTTACATCTAGGCTTCACGTCTCAAAAGACTTTCCCAAGCCTCTGGGTGCAAAATGCCACCCAGGACTATGGCACAATGGAGAAATGTAGTGCAAAGAAACACAGATAGATAATTCATACAGAGGAAAGACATGCAAGCACCAAGGGTACAAACCTTCCTGAAACAAGCAGGGAGAGTTTATCAATGGAGGTTTTCCCCTGCATGGCATAACAGTGCTCCTTTTCCAAAGTAACCACTTCAGAGCTCAAAGCAATCGTTCTGAAGACGGGCAAAGAGATCCCCAGGGGCTGGAAAAGGGAGCTGTACAACACCTGGAATTCTCGGGCAAAGGTTATGCTGCGAACTTGATATGCAATATGAACAAATTGCATGAAGCAGATGACAAACAGTACAAAATTCCAGGAAAATATGTCGGCAGCACAGACATCTACCCATGCCCAGACCGCGGAGCATAGAAAACCCAGCCCCAGCAAACTGAAGACATAAAGGAGCCCAAAGAATCCACTGCCACCCATGAAACCTACTACAAATAAAATACTGGCAAGATGATAAATGGCTCCTTCGGCCTCTTGCTTCCAGGTTGTGCAGACTGGATGTTCATCTATCAGGTTCTTCCATAAACTTGAATTCTTTTCCATGGCTGTGCTTTGGCTGGTTCACTTTTCAGTTTACTTTAGATGATACTGAAGCAAGAAATTAAGTCCTTTGCTTTTCCATTATCAGAGTCTTCACAAAACCAGAGGGAGCCTGGACACTGGAGCTGACAGTGATTAAGGTTCAGTGGGTGTGGGTCTTGAAAAACTAAGAATCCCAGGTTAGTTTCTTCAAGTTCATCTGGGCTCCTGATTTAGACCTAGTCCACGAATACTTTGCTATTTTCTGTGCAAGAGAAAAAAGGATAAAAGATCTAATTAAAAAGAATGGAGAGGTACTATATTTAATGAATCAACAGCACTACTTATGTAAGTTGACCTCCTGTTTTCTACAGAGTTAGAATATTTTAAGCACAAATGCTGCTAAGTGTTAATTAAATTTTTATCATATAAAAACATATTTATTAGAATTAGCCTCATATTTTTCAGTGTAGCTAAGTGCTCTGTAATCAGCTTGTAGTAATAGCAGTTGTTCAATCTACTCAGAATCACTTGGGACTAAAATCACAGACTCACAGACTGCCTCCAGACATGCAGAATTGCTGAGGGTGGGGCCCAGGTGTCTGTATTTTGAACAAGCTCCCTATGTGATTCTGATGCATGAATACAGGGTCCTCCATGCCCCACACCCTTTAAAAGTATTTTTAGTTGTACATTGACACACAATATCTTTATTTTGTTTATTTTAGCTTTTTTTTTTTTTTTTTTTTTTTGAATGTGGTGCTGGGGACTGAACCCAGTGCCTCACGCATACTAGGCAAGCGCTCTACTACGGAACCACAACCCCAACCCCAGGCCCCTCAATGGCCCTTTGAGGGATGCTGTCTGATGCTGATTTTTACTCTTTAGACATGAAGAACTTCAGGCTCAGAAAGAACTTGTAATTTATCTGAGGCCACACACAGCGGTCAGGGGCAGAGCAGAACTTTAGCACTGGTGCCCATGTGTTGGATCTCATCATGTAGCTTCTCCCAAAAGATGTTTTAAATTTGGCACTGTATAGTAGGAGCCCTACTAAGTCAATCATCATAAAAAACACAAAATGAGGACTCAGATTTTTAGAACACATAATAGACCATGAAAATATTTAGTAAATTAGATTGAAATTATTTCAGAAATATAAATTTAGTATTATTTTGCTGTATTAGTGGTTATTTCAGGTTAAAGATTGCATCCATATAACTAAATAAATATTAATATTCCTGCTACTTACACATTTATTTACCAGATGGTCAAAAATGTTTCCGACTCTGCTTCTCACACATATATTCTCTACCCTTTCAGCCATATGGTAAAAATGCTAATATGTGATCTGAGTCAGGAAAGAATTAGCCATGATGACAGAACTACAGGATATATGTATTATTTGCCACCAGATTTCCTAACGGTTTCAGAGTAAAGCATTCATGAGATTGACTTTTTAAAAACACAGAAACATTCAAAAGTCTTGAACTTGTGTGCTATATTTAGCATTTTATTTCTGAAATAAATTTCTAGAACACTTGTCAATGGAGTATCAGATAGCACGGATCCTGTCCCCAGGGGTGTGTGGCAGGAGGAGGGAAGTAGAGTGCAGAGTAGAGGTGAAATGACTTCGTTGGAGTAAAAAGGAGCTGTGTCCTCACCAACAGAACTAGAAACAGGCAGAATGAAGCGCCTGGTGTTGCAGTTGCTGTTTTTTTTTCTTTTTGGTCAGTGATTCTTTGCATCAGGAAATGATGAACTTAAGAATACTTCCAGGTAAATCAGAAAAGAAAGGAAGAGGAAAGCAGAAAGAAAGGGAGGGGAGGAGGGGAAAAGTACTCAGACCTACAACTTAGAGTCATATTTTTATTTTTACTTGTTTTCAAATACATTTCAAGCATTCTGCAGATCCCTCATTATTCTCTCCCCCGCCCTTCTCAATCTGTGAGACCATAAGATTCAAGGCAGACCAGCATCCTGAGCATGTTCGATGTCTCCTCTTTTTAAACAAAATACAAAAATCTACACTACTGGATTGTCACAACAAAGAAAAAAGTTTTTAAAAAACGCAAAGAGTAGTGAGAACTGCAAAATACCAGTCTGTAAATGTCAGTGTCCCTGCTGTTTTACTTTTGAAAACTAGGGTATTTTAAATCAATCAGTTCTTCAGGATACCAAGCATAGCCAGGAAAGCCAATATTAAAAAGAATGGCCAGTGGAGTTCTGAACTTTGGTTTGAACTTCCTTAAAAATTTATAATCCTCGATGAAATGTTAAACTGATGCTAACAGAGAAAGGCCATGGGAAATGTTTGCAGCGATTCAGAAGGATACTTACAGGAATCTTGCCCCCTTAAAAATTTTGATGGGTCGGAAAAATTGGGTCCCCTACATTCCAGAAATGTGACCCTGTATGATTATAAGAGGAACTGTGCTTCCTTCCCTGTCTACTTCTGTTTCATTAAGCTGTGACCAGACATCTTTCTATCCTTGACACTATTGCTCAAGCGTGCTGACTTGCCTGATTAAATTACTCCACCAGCCTTTCTCCACTTGGTGTGTTTTTATTCAGTCACCAAAACAGATGTACTTTATTGGAGGAGGAAGAACTGACAGGGGCAGGTGATGAGCAGGAGCGTTCCTCTGATATGTGCCAGCAGCGCTATGTGAATGTTGAAGATGATTCATCAACCAGCTGCCTGCCTTAAAGGACCTCAGGCCTTAAGTCATGTTTGTGCGTAAATAAATGCTGAAATGCCCCAGTGGCCCTGTGTATTTCTTCCATAAGCAATAAAGTTGGCCTTCCCTGCAAAAGAAGTGAGTACACTGAGTTACAAATGATGGAGACAAAATTCAGTGCAAGTTAACACAATAGTTTCCAGCTCCTAGGCTTTTTTTATTTTTCCCCTCTTTAAGTTGTAAAACTGTGAATCATAAAAGGAATCGAAAAATGTCGAAGATAAAGGATGCTCCGTGATAGGCAATATAAAACCCTGTGACAAATTGATCAAATTAGCTCAGACATTTATCTATTCAAAACTTTTACATTTGTTATCTCATGGCATCACTCCCATTGACCGAAGGAGGCAGAATCGGAACCATAATGCCCAGGCTACAAATGAGAAAAGCAGGGCACAGATCGGTGAAGTCACTGGCTTCAGGTAAAAGTCACACTTGAGATCTGGAGCACAAGTCCCCTTCCAGCCAACTTCATGCCCTTTCCAACATTCCAACTCAATAAGGCTCTGAGTCAAGTAGTACAAATGTGTTGGGAAACCCAAGTGGGAAGGACTGGTTTGCCAAGAAAATAAAAACCCGAACAGTGAATATTTAAGACCTGCTATACCTGCTGTACTTCTCATTCCATAATGCTCAGAATACAGGAAACACAACCACTCATGAAATAATCTGCTGTATTGTTAAACATTGACTGATTCCTCCCTTTGATGCTTACATTCTAAAGGGCAGCAAGGGCAAAGAAAAATGTTCTAGTATGCCTGACCCCTGGCACTCCATGAATGTTGATTGAATACTCTGGGAAAGGAAGGCAAGCACTCTGCCTTCTCCATCCCTCTTTATCATGGGATGTCCTAACATTTTCTGTCTCCCAGCAGAAGTGAGGAAGATGCCAACATCTGAGATATTTCAGCACAAACACTCTGAAGAGTTGGGGCATCACTTTTTCAAAATGTCTGGCACAACTCCAAATTCACAGGGGAATCCTTTTGTCTGCTTATGACCTTGAGCTTCTTAAGAGCAGTTTAATTACTGCTTTGATTAAAAACAACAACTCTGGAAGCCAGTCGTATTGAGTTAGTTTTGGTTGCTAGGCAACCCACAAGCTCAAAATTCCATCAATATTCTACTCATTAATTAGAATCAGATCCCAACTTTGGTATGTGTCCCATATGCTAAATTCTCATTTTCTTAAGCTCTTTTTTTTTTCTATTTATTCTTGAGATGGTACATTTACTCAGCAACTATGTGTAAGACATATTTTATAAGTTATCTCATTTAACAATCCCAGGAGGAAGGTACTATAATCTGCATTTTACAGATGAGAAAATTGAAATTCAGAGAAGGTAAATAAGTTGTTCACATTCCATCCAGGTCTGCTTGATTCTAAAGCTCCATCTACACCACATTTTTCTGCTTCCACTGTCCAGAACCAGGATTTAGAAAATGTGGACCTTAGTCTCCGTTCTGCTCCCTTGGTGAACTTGGGCATTAACAGTAAGCAGAGCGTATATCACCTATTTTATCCACTTCACATGGTACTAGAAAGTTCAAATGAAAAGATTTGTATTAAAAAATTCTTTGCAAATTTTAAAATAACAAACACTACCACTAATATTCCTTGCCTGTTACAGATCTGGGCCACAAGGAGAGTATAGTTTTAAAAAAGCCTCTTTGCCCCAGATGATTACAACTTAAAGAAGTACAGATGAGTCAATTTGGCTGCTATTCATCTTTCAATTATAAAATACAAATTTACTTAGTCCTGCTGGGTTGAGCTCTGTGTTTTTCTCCTCTGTGTTCTGACCTTCTGCTCTACAGGTATAGACCCATAACCAGCTCACTGGTCTTCACTTTCTAGAGGCCAAAAGGCTGTTTGTGAAAGCCAACTGCAATTTTCTACCTTGGTGCTTAGTGATTCCCAGTAGATGCCCTCTAACTACTCACATGAAAAGCACCTTAGTGGTTAGTTAAAAATGCCCCTTCCCTGGCCCCACCCAGAATAACTGAGCCAGTCTCCCTGAGGTAGGTCTTTCTAAGGAGACCCCTATTGATTCTTATGCATAGTGAAGTGTGAGAGCGTTAATTTATGTTTTTCCTGAATGATCTCTGGGTCACCCTTGCTTGCTTATAGGACCTCAGCTTTGTCCACTCCTTGCTGATCCTGGCTGTCCTTCCATGCTGACTATGTTGGTGACACTTTTTGGTTCCTAGTTGTCTGTCCAGGGGAGGGAGCTGGTGTGTGGTAACCACACTGTTCTCTGAGATAACCCGCTCTTTCGAGAAGAGTCTTAGCTGTGCCCCTGTAGAGCTGTGTGAATTTAACCTTCCTAGACCTGTTTCCTCACTGGTAAATAAAAGAATTGGACAACAAAATATGAAAATAAAAAATTTAACTCAAATAACATGGCTCCATATGATAAGAGTAGATTATTTCAAACATTGGTAAAATATAGAGCCGAGTGGCAGAGTTGAATTAAGACTGCAGATCATAACACTAGGTTTAAGATTGGGGCCCCAACAGTGA